CCGCGAAATTGCATACCTAACAGTTCATCAGAAGACGGAAAAAAAATCGATCAATCGAAAATAATCGATAAATCGAAAATAATCGAATTATCGAAAATAATCGATTAATCGAAAAAAATTGATTATCGAAGAAAAAATCGATTAATCGAAAATAATCGATTAGTCGAAAATAATCGATTATTCCAAAAAAATCGATCATTCGATTATTAATCGATTAATCGATTATCCATTTTTCGAAAATAAAATGAGTAATCGATTATTTTGCCCACCCCTAATCGTGACCAGTGACCACTAGAAATCAGAAAATATTTATAGTGAAGACATTCCTGAGGAAAATAATCGACCCAGAACTTTTTTTTATATGTTTCCTCAAGCTTTTGTTCCTATTTCTTCGTTGGATAATGGGCCTGTTCGGGTTTGAAAAACGGACCGTGACAACTGCTGATCATGTCTTATGCATGTGTGAGAGGCAGCTGTTCAACCCGAATATATAAAGCAAGTTTCCCCCCTCACTTATCTCCACCTTCATGAGGAGGACTGGACTGATGGGGGAAGTGAGCCACAATAGACCCCAGGTCGCAGTGGAAGGACCGAAATCGGACAACTTACAAGAAACCTCAACTAAACCTAAAAAACCTACAGTAAGACAAGAAGTTAGGATTATTAAAAAATTTCTTCCAAGTAGACCGTAAATTAGCAGCAGATATTTTACTGCCTCTCCTAAGTTTACATGTAATCCATCTAGAAGGAAAGCCATTTCGAAAACATCACGGGTTACGTTGTTGAGTTAGTAGGTAAATGAAACCACAAAAAATATAAACAATTGTTTTATTCTTAGTAGAACAGTAATATAATCTTGCACATAGTCTACTAACATCATCGCTGTACAAAGTTGTTCCCATCTCTATACATTGAGTACACCTGACAAGTTTCATGTAAAATATTTCAACTGGATATTCTGCTGTTTTGTGAAGTCTGTGTGTACCCAAATTTTTCAGGAAAACAACAGCTGATTCGCAAAACTAAACCATTTTGTTTAAAAATATAGAACAAGTTTCAGTGTGAACGATTTACGTAATTTAAAGCAAAAATCATTCACACTGGGGCGTAATAGCTATTTATGTACCAAGGGGATTATGTAGATTATAATGCCCGAAGGGGAAACTAGCCCGAGGGCCCCTGGCCTGAGGAATATATTTCGCCTGAAGGGCATTATAATCTAAAAATCCCCGTGGTGCATACAATGCTTTATTTTCTACTCAACACAATATTCTTTCATCAATTTAGTATCAAACAAAATCAGTTAAACTTGTGTGACAGAATATTGTTTTGTATTTTGACATGTACCGGTACCTAGAAACGAAATAAATTAATACACCTATAAACATCTCATAAGGCAAGGCAAAGGTGGTCGTGTGGGTAAACGTGCTCGACTATATGGGAAACGTTGATGGTAGACCGGGTTCGAATCCTGGCCAGACCGAAAATTATTTTTGGTTGGACATTTAGTGGCTGCCTAGGGTAAAGTGCAAATTAATAAAACAACAACAAAAACACCTCAGGGTATTATGAGCAAGCGTTATAGATCATAACGCCCGCCAAGCTTATGATGCACCCAGGTTGTTATAGGTATGTTAACATATTTCGTTTCCTAGGTATTATGGATCTATAATAGTTAAGTAGAAAATAAATGTATATAGATTATTTAAAAATTAATAACATTGTTTTAAAATAGTTTTGTTTTTTTTTTCGAGGTGGCTGATAAATTTTTTTATTAGTGTAAGATCATTTAATTTCCACCTTTTGTATAATATATTTTGGAAGATATTTTTGGTAAACAATCGCTCTAAAAAGATATTTACAATTATAATCAGTTTCCATGAGGTAACAAAGCGCAGTATCAAAGTCAAAGACCTAAACTTTATACTAACGGAATTTTAAATAATTATCCTAGTTCTCTCTACTAAACAAAAAAAACATAATATATTTAGTATAACAAATGCAGCCAATGAATTCGTAAAAATAATCCAAAAATGTACTACTATCCATACTATCTATGATAACATTGACATTAAATAGGTACAGAATTGAAGGGCTTAAAAAATAGGGTCAGATTTAGAATCTCTTGAACTTCTCTAGAATATTTTATATACATTACTCATTTTCTGCTAATTTGTGACAAAATTAGCAGTATTTTTCGAACCCTCTAGTACCAAACCAAAAAATCATTAACCTCTGATGTAGAAATTTTACAAAATTCACATTTACAATTTGACATTACACCATAAGATATACACTTTTTCTTATATCACATGTCGAAATGCTTACTGTAGATCACACTATTGTCAGTTTTGTCTCCGACAGTAAACAAAAAGACAAAAAAAAAAGATTCACAAAAAAAAACTATAGGTAACTGACCGTCATAATGGTTGATATTTGAGTTTATAATATGTTAAATTGTTTAAACAATAATGAGCTCTTATATTCCTCTGTAAACTGATATCTATATTAGGTTTGTTTGATATGTTACCTTCCTTCAGAAATGGTTGATAAGGTACCAATAGTTTTTTTTTTATAAGAAATGGGATCGCTCTACGAAAGTAGGAGATTTTTATTTTCAGGCACTGGTCTCTGCTAATATTGTAGTATTCGATAATAAAAGCAATAACAAGAGATAGTCTCATGATGAAAAATGACTTTGTGAAGGCCCAGTCTTGAATCTGAAAAACTGATTTTTCCCATCATGCTCCCTATTTGTCCAACCTAAACATGGCACGGATAATAGATATTAGATTATATCTCCGACTCTCATTGAGAGGGCTTTTTTTTCTAAAATTGCATTTTGAAGTAAAAAAGGTCTCTTACAAAACATATCTACCATAATGTCCGAATCTAACTCTCACTTTCAATTTTTGATGTTCTCCACTTTTTAACGTAATAATTGAGATACGGACAATAATTTCAAACAGAACCGTATTATTACGACTACTTTCGAATTTACTTATTGTCAATTGGCGATACTGAAACATATTATTTCATAATAGTAGGTATTTAGTTTTATACTTGCTAAGAGTTTGCTATATCGTAACATATTTACAAATACACAAGGATAATGACAAGTATTCCGTATCTTTTGAAGCTTAAACCTTAAAGAACATTTGTCACCATCCAGCAAATTCTAGCTTAGGTAACTACGAAATATAATTTGTTTTTTATTTACAAATCTTCTTTTAATGATATTTTCTATAACTTCTCCAGTGGATATAAGAGCTGCGATTAATCTACTTTATTTATGTACCTATTTATTTTTCCAGAGATTCAATAAAAGTTAATAGGAGAGTGGAGAGTGTCAAAAATCAAAATACCTACTCGGGGTTTTTGAATAAAATCAGATATAGAAGGAATAAATAAATTAATCGAATCTTAAGATATCCACCATGAGACTTAAATAATTATAGTGACTAGCGAATCATAAGAACAGTAGTGTTTAAAAAAAAAATCTAAAAGGTATTCAGATACAACATAACAATAAATATTATAACTAAAACAAGATGATTGAAAATAACACGATAATATTTGAAACAATTGTAATAGAGGATAGGTATAAAAGTTTCATCTTAGAATTCTCTTTTTCTACAAACAATCTAACATAAAGCTTAGAATACGTTTTTTTTTTTTTCAATTAGTAGCAAACGTAGAAATTGTTCTGATTAGGTTATATATCTACTAAAAGTATTCCTTATTGATTATAAACATTTTTAAAACGTAAACGAGCGGTATAGTATTTGGTTTTTAATGTACGTAATGGATGTTACTTTGTGTGTTAAAGCCTAGGATCGATATGTACCAGAAATAAAATTATTATGGGATAGGGGTATAGTAGCCGCCACAGATATTCAAGATTCCTACAAAAAATGATATCTTTGTCGGCGATGCCCGGATAAAAAAGAACCGCAGAAAAAACTCTACAGATACTTAAGGGTTGAGAATAAATTTAGTCCAAGAGCATCAATTAAATTCATTTTGCATATAGTATTAATGTATTGTTTAAGTACCTACTTAATTTCTTGCAATAAATATGTGGAAGATGTTTCATGAAAATTGAAAAATAATTTTCAACATTATTTACTGACACGTGCTCGCTGACTAAATGCAGGCCGACTGATAATATAAACATACTTTTCTGTACGAATCTCGAATATTTCTGGCGGATACTATAATCTATCTTAAACCAAAAACTTCATTAAAACGCCTGCAGTTGGCTCCGAGCTTCAATTCAGGAGTGATTTCTCTTTTCATAACACATCCCACTTTCCAGTTTAGGGACAATATGTCAACTGTCAAAATAATTTGTTCAGTCTATGATTGGTAATATATATTAGGCAAGTCATATTAGATATTAGGACAATTTTGAATCTATACAAATAAGTCTGACGCCTGGCGTAGACAAAAGCACCCGTTCGATGACGTTCCGCATAATAAGGAAATAAGGCGATTGGTCAATAGGGATGTACTCGATCACAAGCGCATGGCATACTATTTTAAAAAAATCATCACTTATTTAAAATTTAGACAGTGCCACAAATTTTTTCCAATGTTTTAAACCATTTTAATTAAAGCCAATAATTTTTTTCCGAAATATTTTGACGCAAATAACAATTCTAAAAGTAAAAATAAATAAATGTCGTGACTGAGTGCGGCTCTGCTGGCGAATACCTCAACGCAGGGTCTTTCGTCTAAACCAGGTATCAGACTTCTTCGTCTTTCAGTATAGGATTATCTATTTGCAAAGGTTATTTGGCTAAGATTCAACTATCTTTAAAAATTATTTCTTGCATGAGCAATCATAGAATGTGGGATAGTTTTTCTTAGTAGGTACATCAATCCGGCTTCTGGTTCAAAATGCAGTTGTTGGGCGACTGGGATTGGATCAATAATAATCCAAATACTATACAACACAACAATCGCCAAAAAAAATATTACCAGACCAGTAAACTAGTTCATAACTGGTACCACTTTTTGTCTTTGTACTTCAACATGAGGTCGTGCGCTGTAGAACCGAAATTTTCCGCTTCGTTACGCATGCGCTCGGCTCTCTCCTCTAATTGGCTCAGTTTCTCGCCACGTTCCAGCATTAGCTTGTGGGCCCGATTCACTTCGCTGCAGGCACTCGACGCCCTTTGACCAACGTCGCCCATGTTTCCTGGTATGTGTTTGGCTATCGATTTGTTTGCCTTACCACTCGATTCGCCGACTAAAAATAAGAAGAATTTTGATATATGTTTAAGTTCAAGTCGTTTAAATTATTTGCTGGTACAGAACTCAGAAGATAAAGTAGAGAAGTATCTAGTATTGTATTGTAATGACCGGGGAAAAATAGACTTGTAATTTACAATAATAGTAAAAATTATCTGTAATCAAATAATCAAAAATGGAATCTCCAATAATTCACATCAGTATCAATAAAAATTGAAAAATAATGAAAAAAATTAGCATTGACCCAAATTAATTAAAATATTTAAAAAAGGTTCAAATTCTACTAGTTAGTCATCAACCGCGTGTCATCAAATTGAACTCATAACTCAAAACCCGGAGAAGATTAAATACAAGGATAGGTGATTGAATTAGGTCCCAAAGCGATCAGAAGATCGTGTTTTACGGCCGACACGAGTTCCGCATCCTTTGATTTACATGTCCTCACATTCTTTTACCAAATCTGTTGACCCCGATATAATCCAGGAAACTGGGTAGGTATTGGGTTTTAAACAAACAATTATATTGCTTAGAAAATAGGAAGGTTAATGGAACGAAATTTTTTTGGGGGGATCGAAAAATATAAAAAAGCGGTTTCGGAATTTTGAAATCAGTTCAGTTCTGTCTTGAGTTCAGTTCAGAGTTGAGTTCAATTCTGTTCAGCTTAGGACCGGTTGTACAACGAACGTTCAACTGAAGTTCACACTGACTAGTGGTTCAAAGGAAAAATCTCGCTGTACATGGTCGGTTCAGCCTGTGAACTGAGGTTGATCTTGAACGTCCGAATTTCGGCGTTCAAGGGGAGTTCAACTCTTTTTTGGGGTTTTCTAACCTCACTCGCCTATGTTTTCTTTGTTTATATTTATTTAAAAATCGATCTTGAGTGGGAACTGTGGGAAGATATTCCAGACGACGGAGATTTTTGAAAATTACCTAATAATGTTGTCAGGGTGTCCGGAAAATAGCGTAAAAGCTCTTTACTACGTGGTGGAGGACTTTTCAAGACACCAGAAAAATAATTTAAAAAATCCAGTGGCATTTTTGAGAAAGTTATTAGGATTTTAATGTTTATTAAAATTGTCAACACTGAAAATATCCCGTTGGCAATTGTCACAGAATTAAATTGAATACCTGTAAGAGTGCCTGACGCATATGAACTTCGTGTAGTATTTTTTGGATCAACCTAAAAAATTCGAAGATGACTAAAAAATGTTGTCAGATCAACTTTTCCCGTTGTAATTTAGAGATTTAGCAATTTTCATAATGCGTTTCAAAGGTTAACAATAAATTTTTATAAACCATTGTGTAATGAATTACCAAAAGATACCTAACACTTTGTAGGAAATATTGCAATTTGAAAAAAAAACAAAAATAGGGAAGTTGAATTTCCACATTTACCTCTTCATATTTCTAAGAATGGTTGAGGAGGATTTTTTAAATTATTTTTCCAGGGTTACTCAAAGGGTCTCCTGCTATGTAGTGGAAAGCTTTTACGCTATTTTCCGGACACCCTGTATACACCCTCGAGCTAGACAAGTATTCAGAAATCGCACAGCGACCAAGGGGGCTTTATTCGAAATTGATGCAACTTGACGTCATATGCGATTGATAAAGTGCATGTCAAATAAACCGTGCACCAATTTTCAATCCCAAATGACGTCATTTGCGAGTACGCAAGGTTGCTGATCATTTGAACATTTGGAATGATAAAGAGTTCGAGGACAGATTCAGGTTGGAGAAACAAGCTGGCCAAATTATCATAAATGAAATTTTGCATCTGTGATCAGTCCTGTGATCCTGTGTGTAACAAAAATATAAAAATAAAATAAAATAAATAAAAAACAGGAAAACACACAAAAAATAAACAATAACTTTGACAGGTTATGGGTTAGGTTGTGCCTATTTTCTTCCTTCTTTTTATTGTGGGCATTGCAACTAATAGTTCAGGTAAACCTGCAGTTGTACAACACTCGAAAACTTGAAACACTGAACCAAGTTCAACACTGAACTGCAGTTCAACAGAACTTGTGTTGAACCATTTTTTTGTACAACCGGGCCTTAAGTCTTGAGTTTTGAGTCTACAATAAGATTAATGAGTCGGATAAAACTTGCGAAGAGTTTTTTTTTGTTGTGTTGCCTCGGGAAAACGCGTTAAATCGAACTTTGAAAAAGTAACGGAAAATTGTGAAAGAAAGAACATTTAAAGGGGGTGTGACCCCAAAAAACGACTTAAGCTACTTAAATCAAGAAAAAAATTCTAAGACCTCTCGTGAAAACCGCAGTCCTATATTCAAACTAGTCTCCGAGAAAATTCCTTGTGAAGATAAATTATGCAGGAACTTGTGATGTCACAACCGCCGAAATCGCAGTCTTCTGTTCATTCAGTCGTCAGTGAACTGACCTTATACTTCGAGAGGTTGCAATGCGCTCTAGTGAGATAATTGTCTTTCGCTTGTGGAACATTTTTACAGGTGTTAATACTGTCCCTGATAATTCAGAGTGTCGTCACAAACACCTAGCTGTAACTTTAAATCGCCCTAACTCGAAATAAGACCATAGTAGCAAAATTCGGTGTAAATATTTAATCTTATATTTTTTGGCACTAAAACTTTCATTTTTGGGTCACACCCCCTTCAAATTTGTTCAACATTAGGCCTATTCCGGTTTGGAAAAAGGACGGTTCTAGAACGGTTCAAAACAATCGCACAGTTCATCAATCAACAAAATGACAACGACTGAGCTATCACAAAGGACCCCGCACACCTTATAAGGGATTTTGGCGATCGGTCGATTTTTTCCAAATTTTGATATGTTGTAGAGGATTTATTTCTTAACAACCTTTAAATGGGACGAAATCTTGTAGGTATTACGGTCTTTGAGATATGAGCATTGAAAGATGAACTTTTTTGCGATTTTTTGTGTGGAGAGTATACGAAATACTGGTGCTACTGGTGTTTATCAGTCAAAATATTGACAGGTTCACATATTTTACGTCAGTATCAAATCAATGTCAACAAAGGCTAAGGCCGGGTCCGCACTGGAGTCAATGGTGGAGCCAGTGCGGTCTTGGCCTTAGCCCATATTGACATTTGTCAGTGACGTAAAATATGTAAACCTGTCAATATTTTGACTGATAAACACCAGTATTTCGTATACTCTCCACACAAAAAGTCGCAAAAAAGTTCAACTTTCAACGCCCATGTCTCAATTACCGTAATACCTACAAGATTTAGTCCCATTTAAAGGTTGTTAAGAAATAAATCCTCTACAACATATCAAAATTTGAAAAAAATCGACCGATCGCCAAAATCCCATATAAGGTGTGCAGGGTCCTTTCAATAATAAACTGTGCGATTCTTTTGGACCATTCTACACCTTTTCCAATTGTATTTCAGAAGGTGTCAAATGTATTTCAGAATAGTCAAATGTAGTTCAGAAAGCATCAAATGTATTTTAGAATAGTGAAATGTATTTCAGAAAGCGTCAAATGTATTTCAGAAAAGTTAAATGTATTTCAGAAAGTGTTAAATGAATTTCAGAATAGTTAAATGCTACTATTAAGCTCCTGTTGGGCCAGTCGAGCTCACGTAGGAAGAACTGCACAAACATAGGTAGGTAATTTTTTCTGTCGCCTCCCTCCTGAATTATTTCCGCCGAATTTTCACTTTTTGAAATGCTTTTGGCTATTCTGAAATACATTTTACGCTTTCTGAAATACATTTAACTATTCTGAAATACATTCAACGCTTTCTCAAATACATCTGACTATTCTGAAATACATTTAATGCTTTCTCAAATACATTTGACTATTCTGAAATACATTTAACGCTCTCTGAAATACATTTGGCTATTCTGAAATACATTTAACACTTTCTGAATTACATTTGACAGCCTCTGAAATACAATTGGAAAAGGTGTAGAACCGTACTTTTTCCAAACCCGAATAGGCCCATTATGTGGGAGTTCTAAATAATCAAAAGAATTTATTTAGAACAGTTTAGTGATTTAAGGACGGAATGTAAGGTACTCTAGTGACATGTTTATTTGACTTTATCAATTTTGAAATGAGTATGAAGTGAGGGAATTGACAATGGGACTTCGCAAATGTTATTAATTTGAGTGAACTTTTGAATGCCTACTTTTTTTTGTTTTGTTCTTGTTTATAATGGCGGTTTAACACCAAACCGACTACACCTTTTCCATGTGTAATTGCGAATATATCACTTAATTTTTGGAATAGTAAAATAATGTTACAATATCGTCCGCCAGGCTGTCAAGAATCGATGGTGAAAATACTAGAATCTAGCGAATTTTTCTACTTTAATCTGGAAAATTAGATTATCGTGTGTATTCTAGATTTTACAGGAATAGATTTAGGGATATATAAGAAGGCCGGCATTGATTTGTAAGTTTAGTTTTAGTTCGACTGTGATACGATTTAAATCGTGATTGTGAAGAGTTTAATTGTTGAGTTTGTTAATAAAGTAATTAGTGTCAGAGTGTTTTGTTAAGTGGAATAAATTATTGCTGTGTTAATTGGACTTTGATTTTTGGAATGAACGAAACGAACAACGAACCCAAGATTTTTGTCAGCAGGCAACCCAAAGCCGCGACAATAATATTGCGAATAAATCAAATGTGATTGAGAATAGTCACTTGCTATTGCGAATATATTAAATGTAACTGAGAAAAGTTAAATTTAATTGCGAACATATCAAATGTAATTGAGAATAGTTAAGTGTAATTGCGAATATATCATAATATGATATATGATTATAAAATTATGAATTACATATTATGTAATTGGGGATAATCAAATAAAAGTAGTAAAAAATCAGATGAAATTGAGCCTTTGAATTTTTCAATCAACATCTGTCTGTTGTTGGTAAAATAACTAAGTCTGTTGTTGAAGGAAGTTTTTGTTTACATACATATAAGTCAAAGAAAGGCGACACAAAAAAGGAATTTCGCAATAATTGTGTTACATGCAGATCAACGATA